GACCTTCTTACCCATTTAAATTGCACCCCAATCTCCCTTGCTAAGCTAATAATCTCTCTTAGAGGCTGTCTAAGTGGCCATACTCCCAAGTTTCCAGATTGCATCCACCCTATTACCAGCTTGGAGTCTCCTTCCACTTCTAAGTGCTGCATTCCCCATTGTTTCACCAATCTCAGGTCATGATTTCTGCCCTTAAGGAATCTCCCATCTCAATCGGACCTGAGTAAAGGGCCTATACTTTTCCTTCCTCATTTCTGAAACACCCCCAACTCCCAACTGACCTGAATTACCCAAGGAGCTTCCATCAAAGTTTAACTCACCCTGAACTGAGGCGGTGGTAATGCATCATAACCTTGATGGGAGGCAATACAACTATAGCACTACAATTTCTAATTAAATCAGTTGAGAAGTCCTTGAAGAGATGCTGCACTTTTAGCCAATGCATAACCTTGATGATGATAACCTCAAGAAGTGCTTCCTTGGATTTTTCTTGCCCTTGGAAGATCCTATTGTTTCTCTCTTCTCAAATTGACCAAAGGATAGCTGCTCTTGTTATTCTCCACATTACCTTGCCTCTTTTCTTTGGTTGTCGGAAGAAGCTAGAGTCAAAAAAGTTCAACATGTCTGGCGGGGATTCCATTTGCAACCAAAAAGAGAAGAGAGAACCCATCCCACAAATTAGAAGCAAAAGGACAAAAAAATTCAAAAGATGAGTCATTGTCCCACCATTTCTTAAGCAAAGGCAACAGACATGTGGGGAATGGCACCAATCTAGCCTTTTTCTTTGAAGTACACCCATAGTATTGATCTTTTGGAGAGCCACTTCCCAACAAAAATCCCTAACCATTGGCGGCACAGGAGAAGACAACACTTCTTTAGTAGGAAAAGAGACAGGTACAACAGAAGGCTGAACTAAGGTACTGAAAAAAGAAGAACAAGAGAAAGTCCCTGAAGAAGATTCTTTCCAAATTCTATTATCTAAGCAACAAAGATCTAGGAAAAGTGGACTCAACATAGTGAACAACTCATCTGCATAAGCCAATTCTGAATCCCTCAACCCTCTTCTCAAACCCAAATCCCAGGTCCCCTCAAACACACAGAGTGAGGAGATGGTTTTCAATTTATTTAGGGAAAGAGAATACATTACGATCCTTAAGGGGGGGGGGTGGTTTTCCAAGCCAAAGATCCTCCTAAAACATAATTTTATTACCTAAGCACACATCAAGTCTGATGAAAGGCAGAAAGGAATGCAAGACTCCAACAATGGCTTTCCAAGTGGAGAAATGAGAAGCCCTAGAGTCGACGCTTCCCATCCAGTAGCTGCCATCCCGTGAATACTTTCCACCACCAAGTGTCACAAATTGTTCTGCTCTAAAGGAAATCTCCACAACCACTTTCCTAACAAAGCTACATTTCTTAATCTGATGCCAATGCCTAGACCCCCGACTTCCTTTTTCCTAGAAACTACTTCCCACTTCACTAAATGGTTCTTTTTTGAGTCACCCAGTTCCCACAAAAAATCTCTCATAACCTTCTCTTAACTTATTGGCAACCTTGACATGTAGCTTAAAGGTAGACAAAAAATACACTGGAAGGTTGGCCAGAGTGGACTTGATTAAAGTGATCCTACCGACTAGTGACATAATTTCTCTTCCACCCTGCTAGCTTCTTAGTGAATATTTTCAAAACTGGGTACCAAAAGCTTTTTGTTCTAGGGTTTCTCTCCAAGGGCACTTACCTCATAACCTAAAGACCTAGCCACCAATTGCAGCTCATCTTCTCGTATATTCACCACCACTACACAACTCTTATTCCAATTGACTTTCAGATTGGAGACTCTCTTAAAGTGTGTCACCACCAATCTCAAATTATCCATCTCCTTAGGTTCCCCCTTCACAAAAGAGAATGATATCATCTGCAAATTGTAGGTGAATGACAACCATTTCCAACCTTTAATTTGGTTCCTTGAATCAGCCCTAGAAATCAAGAGACATCCACTACTAAGGTGAAGAGGAAAAGGTGACAATGGGTCTCCTTGTCTAAGGCCCCTCTTTGTAGGAAATCAAGAGGCATCCACTACTATGGTGAAGAGGAAAAGGTGAGAATGGGTCTCCTTGTCACTAAGATTGAAAACTGACAAGAGGTAGGGGTTACTGTTCATTCCAACCCCCATAAATCTTAGTTCCACCGTACAATTGGGGTAGGTGTCAGCTCAGAATTGATGCCAATACATGAGCAAGTATTGGTGTTTAGGTGGTGTTTGAAATTTTGAATTGTTGTAGGTCTGCAGTGGAATTCAGAATTTTGAGGTGGAGTGCAGTCTATTTATCCCTTTTTTTGTAATCTACACATTCATTGGCTATTAAGATCTGATCGATAATTTGTCTCCCTTTCACAAAGGCTCCTTGATTCGGTGATATTAAGAAAGGGAGGACTTTCTTGAATCTTAGGGCAAGAACTTTAGAGATGATCTTATGCAAACTCCTAATAAAACTGATAGGTCTAAAGTCCTTGGGCTGAACTACATGCACCTTCTTAGGGATCAAGGCTATAAAAGTAGCATTTGCACCCGCATTTATTTTTCCTCTTTCAAAGAACTCTAAGAAAACCTCCATCAGGTCATCACCTAAGATATCCCAAAAGTCTTGATAAAAAGCCATAGTGAATTATTTTTCGGTTATTTTGTATCAAGAAAATTCCATTTCGATTGATTATTCTTGCCAGTAAGTTGGACATGTTTTAATCACATGGAATCAGAGGAGGTTGTTACTCCCCCAACCAAAAAGGAAGAAAAGAAAAATCCTTTTCACATCTTGTATACCCTCTAGGCATTCAGAACCCCTTAAGAGTTAGTTTACCAATTCATCATTTCACCTAAAATCTATTCTGTGGCCTATGATTTCTGGATACCTACATGACTAGTGTATTGGTGTCGGAGACAATACACACCCAACATGTCACCAGACATCCCCTTCTATATGTACTCTATAGCATTAACACTTTAAAAATATATAAAATGGTATGTCTTAACAAATCATATTACAAAAAATCTGTGTTATGTTAAAATTCTAATTACCTTTGGCAAGATATAAAAGCATGATATAAGCATATTATATGGGATGCCGGTACTCATATTTGTGTGGGATTTTAAGAAATGGATTGTTATATCCCTGTTTCCTGTATTCATGTCCATGTCAGTATCCATATTTGAGCATCATAGATTTATCAAATAGTTTTTATTAGCATAAGATCTAAAATATGGAAGAAACAAGTGTTTTCACAATTCTATGACCTGCTCTATTGACTGCTTAAACAGTGTTATACATGTGATTACATTATTATCTTAGAGCATACTTTTTCCTATGGAATAATCATTGTATAGGGGGCAACTAGTCAATGCTTTGTCTAATAAAAACAGAAACAACCATCATTACCCTAAGTCCCTGACTAATACATACACACTCTGCTTTTTTTTCTTTTTGTTTTTTGATAATCATAAATACTGCTATTGATGACACCATCAATCACTACTATAGATGCTGAACCTGTCTACCATTTTTACAACAATACCTATTGTTTATTTATGATCAATCAATTTGAATGAACCTTTGTGATTTTTCTACCTGAAAGTTCAGAAAGCAGAAAACATGGGTGTCCCATCAGTTATCATTTATCACCAGGAATATAATAATAAAAATAATAGAATAAATGCCACTGATAGCAGAAATAACAAGAGATGCATCAAAATAATGGAGAAATTACATCCATGAGTCATCTACAAACCTTAGGAGTACCAACAGCAATACTAATATCAATATAATCCCTATATATGATATCATCCCCATCAATGACTGCATTGATTATTGGCTGATTCTGAAGCCCACTGACAGCAGCCTGAAACAAAATTGAAATTGTAAAGAATAAAACATGTATGAATACATACATCATACAATATTATAAAACTCTTTGGCATTTGTTTCCAGAAAATGAAAAAGGAAAATCTTTTGGAACACTTCCTTTTGAGATTTATTAGAGTTTATGGAACAAGAACGAACAATTTTTGAAGAGAAGAGAAAAGAACATGGAAGGATTTTGTAGAGATATAAGGTTGCTTGTTGTGGATAGGTTGATGGCATCTGAAGTTTGAAGATGTAGGTAGATCTCTCCATTTGGTTCAGAGTTTTGGTCTTTGCTTGACATAGTAGTAATGTAAGAGTATGTAAAAGTGCTATTATATATGATGCTTTATTTCTCATCTTGAGAAATGTATTGGCTTTTTAAAGTGTGCCTTGACACATACAACATTATATACATATTTATGTAACAATAATTAGTATTATGTGAAACATCTTACTTACTTTGACAAATCCTGACATAAATCCTAGCTTCAGACCATGCTTCTCCAGAAAGGCATCTTTATAATCAGAACGGAGCTTCATCAAATTAGTCCTGCATTATTCAGACACTTATGTCAAAGCATGCATGAATGTTGGTTATAGTTTAAAGACATTCATACAATTAAAGCCTAAACTTTAGCAAATTTAAAAAAAAAAAAAAAGGCTTCAAAAGCTACAGCAAATCAATGGTAGGTAGATATGGTTGGTCCAAATCCTACGTGGAATTAAATTATTATGAGTTAGCTTACATATCAACTTCATTGAATGTTGTCAACATTGCAAATGTGTTCTGAGAGTCTTTCAAACGTGTTGCTACCCGTTTTCTGAGCCTTGTCATAGGAACCTGTAATGGTTATAAGTTGTCAAGAATTGGATCATTTACAGGATTCTTTGCTAAATACAACTTAGGAAACTCTTAGTGCATATATGTCTTGAGAGACTTACCCGTCTTTCCCTTTCCTTGGGAGGAAGCTGAGGTTCTGTAGCTGAGGCTTTTGGTGGTGGTGAAGGTGTTTTAGGCCTCTGCTTGATGGCAAGAATGTCGGCTTTAGTCTCTTCTTTGGCCACAGTCTCCTTTTCTGGAGGAGGTGGCTGAGAAGCCTCTTTATCCGACTTCTTCTCTGATGGAGTAGCAAGTGCAGCACCTTCACCAGACTTTGAAATAACTGCAATCTTGGTTCCTGGTTCCACAGTATCACCTTCCTTCGCTACAAACTATATGCAATTAAGCAGAGACATTAATCTACCACATTCAAGGCCCTACCTGATTTTAAGGAGCAATCAAAAGATAAGTTGACAATTTTTCAACCAAGACACCATTCATTACTTATGATATTTTACCATCTTACCTTCTGGATAACTCCAGCTTCAGGACTTGCAACATCAATGGTCACCTGATCATAAATGCACAATTAAAGATTATGGGAAATGTTTTGTTTCAATCCCAACAATCAAAGGAAGTTTTTGTATTACAATTTTCCATACATAAAAATGAACAGCATTTTGCTTTACAACATCTAATACGCATTGCATCATGATAAATACCTTATCCGTTTCAACTTGAGCAATTGGTTCATCAACCTGTACACTATCACCTGGTTCTGCTCTAAATATAGTAGATCCAATTATCTCCCAGACAAGATATTAAGTACAAATACATGCAAAAACTTCATATAAGAAAGCAGAATATGACTTCTTACTAATTAAGCATCACAAAAACAGCTGTCAAAAGAACATACTCTTCAAGAATTTTGCAAGAGTGCCATCAGTTATAGATTCACCCATGAATGGGACAACCGCATCAACCATGTCACCTTCATCAGAGGAAGAATAAAAAATAAAAAAAAAATGGAAAAGAGAAACAGACAGATGCATGTACATGTGTTTATTTACATTAATTAATGAATTTATTTTGCTGACCAAAAAAGATTTACAAAGACCCAGTGAGAGGTGTGAGGTGCCACTTCTCAATAAACTTAAACAAGATTACAACTGAGCCCAAAACAGATGATCCCTATAAACCCCTCGTTCAGCTAAAGGATCCACTGATCCATTGGCCAATCTTCTTTCCCACTGTACTCTAAGAGTCATATTTCTAGTCAACCATTTAAACCTTTTCAAATCATCCCCACAAGCCAAAATTAGTGTTTCTGGGTCCTTCAGCCATCCTGTCACCAACTTAGAGTCTCCTTCAATGATTAGTTTCTCCATATCCATCTGTCTTGCTAGCTGAATTCCTTGAAGAGCAGCAAGGATCTCAGCTCTAATTGAATCGCTCTCCCTGGCTGGACCTGAGAATAAAGATAACATGCAGCCACCTGTCGTCCTTCTCTCTAAATGCACCCCTTATGCCCAAAGGACCCAGATTTCCTTGACTGCTACCATCAAAATTAAGTTTAACATACTCACTTTCAGGTGGATACCAAAAGGAGACAAATCTTCTTTTTCTTGATGAACTAATTGCTACAGCCTTCCAATTCCTCCAAATATCATCAAAGGAGAGGGTTGAAAAAATAGCAAGGTTTTTACCCAAATCAAGGCTTTCTTTCTTCTGAAATGGTTCAAATCAAGGCTGCCCTTGTGCTTCTCCAAAGAAGTATTCCCCTCCTCTTGGGCCAGCTTAAGGTGGTAGGGTCAAAAAGCTTGCATATCTCCAAAGGCAAAGTCCACCTACATCCAAAAGGTGAGAACCTTTCACAAATACCTATAGTAAAAGGACAAGAAATTAAGAGGTGGTAACAATTCTCCCCGTTATCTTTACAGAGAACAGACCAGTTTGGAGATAAGCAGAGAAGGCCTTCTCTTTTGTAAAAAAAGCGAATGTATTTAATCTTTCCATAAAAAAACTTCCCAACAAAAAGAACACACTTTTGGAGGAATGGGTTTGCTCCAAAACTCTTAGGATGAAAGAAAAGAGTGGACCAAGAGGGGCATAGAGAAGAGAAAAAAAGAGGCACATGTGAAAGACCAAACAGGTGAGGACACCAAATACACCCATTAGAAGTGGAAGGGTCTAAGCACACACTTTCAAGGATTTTCATGAGGCTAGCCACTGAGTCAAGCTTCTACTCTCTCAGGCCCCTTCGGAAAATCAAATTCCAAGAAATGCCATTAAAAAGGAACAAGACACAAAATTCGCAATAGGCTCTACCTTGAATAAAGAAAATAGCATACAAGGAAGGTCTTTTAGTGTTACGATTCCATGCATAGTACCTAACTTGGTTAAGAAAGAGAGGAAGAATACCTGAAATGGCTTTCCAAGGAGAAGATAAGGTTGCTCGATGAGATACTCCAGCATCCTAGCCATTATCCAACCTGCCATGAATGCTCTCTATCACTCTATGCCACAATCTCTCCCTCTCACTAGGCCACCTCACAGTCACTTCCCTAGAAGAGTGTTGTGTTTCTCAAGCTGACATTACCTAGTCCTAAGTCTCCTTGCTTCTTCTGTCTACGTACTATTTCCCACTTAATCAGATGGTCTTTCTTCCCTTCTCCAGGCTCACATAGGAAATCCCCCATAATTTTTTCTAGTTTTGAAGCCACCCCTTCCAGCATCTTAAACACAAAGAGGTAATAGACCAACAAGTTTTCCAGAGTGGACCTAATTAGAGTAATTCTACCCCCAGAGAGATATAGTTCCTTTTCCAACTTGCCAACTTCTTACAACACCTTTGTATAATAGGGTTCCAAAAACTAGATTCCTTAGAATTATCTCCTAATGGCATACACAACTATTTTAAAGGCCAAGAAGAACACCCAAAAACGGAAGCTATTGAATTTAAATCACTATCTACCAAATTTACCCAAGCTTGAAACGCTCTCAAACAATTTCACCAACCACTTGAGATTTCCAACTTGCTAATAATTATCACCTTTACAAAAGATAATTAGATCATTTGCAAACTGAAGGTGAGTTACCACTTCATTGTTGCTACCAACTCTCCACCCCTTGAACACCTCTAACCTATCCGCAAGGGAGATCAATCTACTAAAAGCATTAACTATCAAGGTAAATAGGAAGGGATAGAGGGGATCTCCTTTTCTCAAACTTCTATGAACTAGGAAAAGATCCTTAATCACCCCATTAACCAATACAAAATACCAACAAGTTGTCAGGCATCCCTCTATCCAAAGACATCACATCATCCATCCCTAAAACTACACAATTTCAAAATCTCCAAAAGAAAGGACCAGTCCACCAAATCATAGCCTTTTCAAAATCATGTTTGCATAAAAACCATTTTTTCTTGTTCTTCTAAAATCCTCCACACACTTATTGGCTATTAAAATTTGATCAATAATCCATCTACCGTGAATGAAAGCCCCTTGAGATTGACTAATTAAAGAGGGGAGAATAGTAATCTTAGCAAGAAGACCTTAGCGTAATTCTTGTAAATACTTGTAACCAAGCTAATAGGCCTAAAACCTTAGGGCTACACCACATTTGACTTTGTAGAAATTAGAGGTAGGAAGGTAGCATTAATACTTGGAGTCATAAAGTGTTCCTTTATAGACTCACTAAAAACCTCCAACAAGTCCCCTTTAACCAACTCCCAACAATCTTGATAGAAGGCCATAGTAAAACCATCGGGTCCTAGAGACTTTGATCTATCCATAGAGAAAACAGCCATCCTTATTTCTTCAAGTTCACACCTGGATTCCAAGAAATTTACTACATTCTCATCCAAAGAAGGCCAATCAGTCCCTTCCACAAGTAGCATATCATTTAACTATCTTTGGTAAATGAACTTGAAATGGTCTACAAAGGCCCTAGCTATCTCAATTTGATTACGGATTATATTTCCATTTTTCTCTGGTTTGTCCACAAAGTTTTTCCATCTTCTACCATTTGCAACTACATTAAAAAAAATTGTAATGCTATGTCCCTCCTTAACTTACTTTTGCCTCCAACAGATCTCCTCCGTAAGAAGAATCTCCAATTCCTTTTTCAGGTTCCATCTTAATTGCTTTTCCTCTTCACTTATAATCCCTTGACTTTCTTTTTCATCTATTTGTTCAATTTGACAGAAGAGATTCAATTTCCTTTCATCAATTCTTCCAAAATGGCCTCAACTCCACTCCTTGATTTTATTTTTAATTTTTGCAATTTCCTAGGAAATCTTACTCCTTTCTAGCCGGCATTAATCAAAATCTCCTTCCACAAATTCTCCACCATGGATACAAAACTTAGATAAGTTAACTACATGTTTTCAAACTTAAATAGTTTTAGGCCATCCACAAGGCTTTCAAGGCCTAATTTAATCGGGTAATGGTCAAAGGTAACTCTTGGTCAGGCTTTAGACATCAACCCATCCCAATGAATCTCCCACTTGGGATTGAAAAGGAATTTGTCCAATTTGGAGAAAAGGGGACTACCTTGAAATTTGGAACAAGTAAACCTAGCTTGTATCAAGGGGATCTTCTTCAGCTCACAATATTATTTGATTCCTCAATGAATCTGATTACATTGAAATCCCCACCCAAACACCAAAAACCATCCCAAAACCCCTTTATTGCAACAAGTTCTTCCCACATCTCATTCCTTTCCCTAAAGCTATTGGGTCCATAAACATTAGTAAATACCTAGATGAAGCCATCCTCCAAACTCTTAAATGTGATTGAAACAGAGAACCTTTCTATTATCTCCACCAAAGGTTCCACTACATCACCCCCCCCCAAAAAAAAAATGCCCCTAGAGGCCCCCAAGAGGGGGCACAACTCCAATTGATACCCCTCGGCCTCTAAACACTTCTGAACCATCTTCAATCCAACAAAGCCAGCTTTGATTCTTAAATCAATGCTATGTTTAGGCTCTCCCTTTTCAATAAATCCTTTATTACCCTTCTCTTGCAAGCACTACCCAAACCTCTCACATTCCAACTAATGATCTTCATAGTTTCACAAATAGCAAACCCATTAGCAGCTCAAACCAATACTTTGAACCCTTTCTTCTTTCCCCCTCCCACTAAACTCTAAATCTTTCCTCTACATCAAATCTCAATCTCTCTACCTCCAATCTTTTCTTTCTTTTCCTTATAAACACCTTTGGTTTTTCTACCCTTGTAATTTTTAAACCCATCTTTCCTACCACTTCTGTTAACTTTTCTTTTTCTCCTTCCACCCTAGTCTCTCTCTCCCCAACACTGTCCTCTCCATCAGTTCTTCTAACTTCATGCTTGCCCAATATGCTCATTCCCAACATCTTCTCTTTTTTTTAATTCTTCAAGGGAGTAACAAATCATTTGTCAAATTCTTTCACCCTCCTCCCTATTCCCTTTGTAATGATCACCCTCCCCACACTTCCTTCCTTACCCCTTCTCTCTAGCCCAACACCTATAGTTGGACAAGGCTGGGAGACTTTCGATCTGTTATAGGCAAAGTAGAAGCATTAGTAACCAAAACTTAATTCAACTGCATACCTGCAGAATTCAACTCTACACTCCCTATGTTGGAGGAGTCCTCAGTGTCTGAGGCACTACTGTCATCACTGCTCGACCAATCGTCATCCAAATAGGGTGAAACTTCAGAAAGAGCCTTCCTTTTTCTACGAGGATTGCGCCGCTCTCGGGAGGCAACCAATTTACTTTGGCAAGGAGACCCTTCTTGAGATTTTTGTGCAGGGCATGCGAGAATGTGAGCATATGCATTTTAGTTGTATGTACATGCACATGCAAATAACTTTCTATCATGCATGAATTATGTAAGGAAAAGCTATTATTCAGCAGGGTAAATGCCATACCATTGTCTGAAGAAAATAATCTACTCCACACACAAATAGGACTCCTTGTTTTTCCAAATGCAACAAATTCCCTACATATTTGCCATGAACATTAAGAAAAACCAGAAAGGATGAGATGTTAACGGGATTAATTCTTATGATGCATGTACTCTTTTTCATTATTATTTCTTTCCTTGTTTTTCTTTGTTTTTAATGAATTAGCATCGGTAATTGTTCCCTCCAGAAAATAAGACAAATTACAGAGGTAGCAATACAGTGGCATTTGGTAACATCCCAATGGAATGTTTCTGCTGTTCCTATAAGAGGAAAGGAACTATTTTTTCCTTTAGGGAGCACCAGAAAGGCTCCTGTGGAACGTTACCAAGCAACTCCTAAAGACTGATACTTGTAAGGAATTATTGTCATGTGAATAATGGAAAATTACATCATTTGAAAAAAGATGAGAACAAACTTCTAACCTCACAGGTTTTGAAGTAACTGAACCACCTGTACCAACATGAAATTTATAAAGGAGTTACTACTATATAATGACAACCACATCAGTGAGATAAAAGATATAATTAACAGGATTACCAGGCAGTGTGTGGTGAATTAGGTTCTCAACTTCCTTGGATCCTCTTCTAAGTAATAATGCCTGTACAAAGTACAAACACTTGCAAAATAAGTGTAAGTTCTGGAAAGAAAACAGAAAGAAAATTCAATTTTTAATATAGATATTCTGTAATTTAGGCTCCATTTGGAAAGAATGCAAATACAAATATGTTAGTGCAGATACACATACTGTCATTTTTCATGAACCTTGCATATTTGTATTTGCACTCTTCCCAAATGGAGCCTTAGTGTTATAAAAGCAAAAGACACAACAGGAAAATATAAACATAATCCACATTAATCTACAAAACTTAAACTAGTAGCCATGCTTTTATCCCTAGACAGTCCACAGCTTGAGAATCTTTTACATAATAACAACCACTCCGAAATATTGATATACAAGGCTTAAGCAAATTCTATTACTCTTGCGGTAACCTAAAACTAAGACAGGAATATATAATAAGATAATGAAGCAACAAATGAAATAAGTCAACCCATGATGCATGAATACCTTCTTTCGTGCGGTTGTACAACTCCTAGGTCCAGACACGACAGGAATCCTCTGAAATGACTGCCCTAAAATCTGTAACAAATGGTGTAGGAACCCAAATGAAATAAGCTTATCAATATCCAGCTCCACTAAGCTCAAGTGAATACAGGCAGACGAATATATACATATATACAAGAAAGAATAACAGAAATGCTGGGTTCTACCGAAGCAGACGATCCACCACAAGCGAGTTTTCGCCTAATAATCCCCAACATCTTTCCTTTTGTTCCCTATAGAATGACCAGATCAGCAAAAATACAAGCCAAAATAAGATCACGTCTTAATATTCACAAGAGTTAGATATCAATCAGTTGGTACTCGATTCAGAACTCATGATGCGAATGAGATTTAATTTCTATCATTAGAACCAACAGAGTAGTTCCATGAAGGAGTAACGTTAAAACGGAGTAACAGAAGATCAAAAATATATCCATTAATTCTAGAAATGATCTTTACAATAAAAACAATAGATTGAACAAGATCAGATAAATACAAAGCAAAGCAGCAAAGTAGACAGCACTGGGAAATCAAGAAAATAAAATAAAATTATCCGCCATTGTAATATAATATCCAAAAAGAAAAAAAAATAAAGGAAAGAGAAAGAGTATCGAGTATCGACCTGGTTCTGGTTGCAGACGATGAGCTACTTTGAAAAAAGTAAAACCTAACAGAGGGTGTTAACTTTTAAAGGGGATTCTGTTGCAAGGAAAGTGGAGAATGGAGAGAGTGCTCTGTTTTTGGCAACTTAGCATCTATCATGTCATGGCTTATACACATTTTGTCGATGATATAATAAGGAAAATTGGAAAACTTGGAGCGTGATGTGTTCTCCATTGTGGTCGGTTTTCTGTTTTCTCCATGGTGGTGATGATGGTTATTAACTGCAACAGATTTCCGCCATAAAATGCAGAAATTTATTTGTTAAGTTCAAATGTAAGAAATTATTGGTGACAGGGAGAACGTAAAATCGTTATGAATCTTTATTTGATCACCACATTAGGTCATGGGTCGAACGGTTCAATCGTGAGATTCCGAATCAACCATCAGATGTGTACACGTTGGACAAATGTATTAAGCTGACATGGCGTATCGTGATTCTCTCTTTCTGAAAAAATCCGTACGCGGTACGCCACGAAGAACGCGAGTTCAGACCTCACGTTTCAGCCGTATATTAGGAGCATCTTACCATGAACAATTATTTTTAAGTATGGAGATGCTCCATATGCACGGCTAAACGTGCTATGAGATCGCTGTGAGGCGCGCTTTGTGAGAAGAACTCGTAACACATTGCCTTCATTGGAAATTTTGGCCCAAACCGGTGATTGGTGATTGGTGATTGGTGATTGGTGATTGGTGATTGAAGGAGAGAATCGATACCAGCATCCTCTATGTTCCCCTACTTCATACGGTTGTATGTGCTAATGGTTTTGTCATTTGTGAAGATGGGCTCCATTTTGAATCAATCAAAAATTGACGATCATGATAATCCTGATCATAGTTGTATTTGGAGGATATGTTAACATGGAAAGCTGGGATCATCGTTGGGACCTATCTGGAACTCGCACGTGCTTCATGTGGGCTGTTCCTTGTACTAGAGAGTAGAGACTAGAGAAGGTGTTTTCCTTACCTTCTCCGAACAATGCATATGCATGTGGTTATGGACTACTGGGGTGTGACTGTGGCCTACGAAAGTCTATAAAATCATGGAACCGGACAGTGCTAATTCCAAACATGTATTCACTAGCAGCTAAGCAAAAAAAAATAATAATAAAACAAAAATAAAAAAAGAAAAATTCTATTATTGTCCATAGTTACCCCACCCTGGTAAATGTCGTAGGGGTAAGCCACTAAATGTCCTTTATGGGCCTGGTTTAGAGGTGTAACTATACCTGTTCATGGGCCGGGTTGGCAGTTGGCTTGGCGTGGCCCATTTTAAATCGGGCTTGAACATGAATTTAGGCCTGAAGGCTCAGGCTTGGGCCCAAAACATCAAATCGGACATTTTTTTCGGGCTGGATTCAAGTTTTCTCAAAAATCCCAACCCGAGCCTAAACCCGACTTGATAACATATTATATAACAGACAAAATATATTTATATAATAAATAGGGTAAAATACAAAAACCTCCCCTAAAGTTTCTAACAATAATCATAAAAACCTCCCCTATAGTTTCACTTTAGCAAAAACATTCCTTCTATTTTCAAAAAAATCAACAAAAACCTCCCTTCCATCAATGACCAAGATAGAAAACGTTAAACCGATGATAATTTTTTTAAATACCTATTTTACCCCTATATGAGTTATTATATACCTATTTTTATTAAAAAAAAAAAACCCTTTGCCCAATCTTAAGAAGAGCTTTTGCCGGCTGAAGAAGAAATCGACTGTCGATGACTGACACTCTCCATGTACTGAGGTGAAACTCTATTCCTTCGGTTTTTTGAAAATGACAAGGCACCGGCTTGAGTGCGAAAGCCAGCAAGTGCAGGAGCCAAACCGCCTTCGCCAGGCTCAAAAACTCTCCATAGAACTTGGTCCTCGGGTGGTTTCCAGCCATAGTTAGGCGTCTTTGCTCCAAGTTCTTCGAAGAGAAATTCCTCCATCTTGCGATGAATGATAGAGCATAACTTACCAAACATTGGGAATTCCGATCATATCTTATCAGAACCCAGTATTCAACTATTTGTTTCTCCTCTTCCTGCAATGAAGGTTACGGCAATACCATACAGCGGTTACTGATGAAGGGTGATTTGGCCCGACCTCATAAGCAGGTGACACGTGTACGTGGCTCAACATAAATGACAGCTCGACATGAGCAGATCGGCATGTGGACATGACACGACATGGAAGACAACTCAACAAGTATAAGCTCGCCTCTAAACGAGCTCAAGTACAATAATGTCCCGAGTTGAAGGTACTTCGGGTCAAGTCCATCCCAGTTCGCGTACTAAAACAACCAAGTTCACAACAGCAGACCAGGCAAATAAGCCACCTCGAAGACAACTCACCTCGGGTAGAACCACCTCGGCATGCCACCAGCAGCTCGACATAAGTAGCTTGCCGCAAGGTAGCTCGCTATAGGGTCCGTTATCAAGTAGCTCTGAATCCCGCGAGAAGCTCCCTATCTGACAACCGTACCTGTCAACCCTGAAAGTTGCACCCACGCCCCTTGTCTGGCGACGCAGTGTCTGCCAATTTTGAGGACTACACTCATTGTCTCTCACTTGGCGGCGTCGTACCTGCCAACCTCGGAGGTTGTCTCCTGCCTGGCGGGACCGTACCCTACAACGGTCACATTAGCCCACCTACTCCCCAGTCCTGATGACGATAGCCAATCACTCCGAACCATTGTCTGACAGCAGATCACCGCGGCAGAGATTTGGGAGCAGCCCCTCCGAACCTGCTAGGATGTTAGTATATAAAGACTTCAACCCCCTAGGGGCCAAGGTATTGCATATTCACTACTCTCTAGCTTTCTCATCTTCTTGCAAACTTATTCTTCTTCAGCTCGTAGTCGAATACTAACTTAAGCATCGGAGTGTTCCAACCGGGTGAGCAACCCTGGGTTCCTTCATTTCTCTTAACGTAGGTATCTCTTGCCTGACGCCAGTTAGAAGCTAAGTCACTTCCAGCTAGGAGTGGTCGGATTGTGCATCATCAATTGGCGTCGTCTGTGGGAACCGTTTCAAAAAGCTTTCTCTACCAAACTTTCACCAGCATTAATGGTGTCTCCTGGCAACGTTGGGCAGAACAACGGAACGAACACTTTTGGGGGCACCTTCAGGCCCCTGCCGTGCGTATCAGCCAGTTTACTGTACCTCTCCGCACCTCCGGAGTCCCCACGCTGGACCTACCCTAGGTCGCCAAGGCGGTGAACACCCTGTTCCCTCCTGCGGTGAACACCACCTTCACTGAACCCTCTATGGTTCCTCCCGCCATGGGGCAAAACCAACTGGGTGGTCTAGTGCAGTGCGTGCGGGCCATTCAGGCCCCGATGTAGCAAGTCCAGCAGCTTCAACAGCAAGTCCTGTGTCATTTTTATCAGCAGCAGTTCCCAATGCTGCAACAAAGCCGACAACCAGCCCAGCCACGGTGCCCAATAACGCCGTAGAACCAGCAGCCTCTCAATTGCCGCCGAAGCAACCGTCCTCACCGAGGAGAAACCTCTCAAGCCTCATCCCGTAGTAGGAGGGAGCCAGTAGCTCCCACCACCTCGCGGCTACAAGGCGGATCAGAAAGCGCTCGTCCCACCAAGGTCGGTCAGTCCCAGCACATGCAACCGGAAACCTCATTGACGGGCAACCGATTCGAAGTCTTGGCCGCGAGCTTTGAACAAGACCCTTCAGTCTGCAGAAACCAGTACCAGCTTGATTCTCACCAGGCCAAGACCCTGCCTGATAGCACTGAAGCAAGCAGCACCAACGCAGATTCTGCTAGGAAGCAACGAAGGCGGCATCCCAAGGCTCGCCGTGCGATAATTCCTGAACAGCTCGCGGGGCCTAGTCAACCCGAGCAACCAAAAGGTAAGACGGGAGCGAGCCTGGGAGTCGCAAGGACCACCCCTCTTCTCTTAGTGTCATCTCCCCTCTCTCCTGATCTCCTGGCAGCTCCCATGCCAAAAGACTTCAAGGTACCTCCTCTAGACAAGTACGATGGGTCGTTTGACCCGAGTAACCATGTAGACTCCTTCTCCACGAGATTCAGAGGAGTAGCGCACATGTGGTATAGAAACCTCCCATCCAGAGCAATCCAGAGATGGGCGCAGTTCGTACGAGCATTCACCTCGCACTTTGTTACTAGCAAAAAATGTCTGAGGTCGCAGAAAAGCCTTTCGGCATAGTCCAAAAAGAGGGAGAGTCCATCTGGAACTACATCAAGCGCTTCAATGACACCTGCCTCTTGATCCCGAACTTTGACCCCACGATGAGACTCGCCACAGCAAAGAGAGGAGTCATACATGTTTTGTCATTTGAGCGTGTGACTCATACGACCCAAAAATGGAACCATTCTGGCCACCGGTTTTTCGGTCGACAATTCGATCGTCCAGTTCGAATGAATGACCCATTCTGACAACAAAAATAAAAAAAAATAAAAAAATAGCCAAAGACCATTGAACGGGTCATTGGGTTGACGGTTTGACCACTCAAGTCAATGGGTTGTTGACCAATTCAATGGTTTTTGGCCAGAGACCAAGATTGGGGTAAAACGGAACTATTTGCTTGGACAGTTTCCAATTAAAAAAAAAAAACGGACGACCCATTCTGACAACAAAAATTACATGCAAAAAATTGAGTTTGTGAGAGGTCCATTAAGCATTACCATACGTGTTATGTCATTCGAGCGTGTGACTTATACAACCTGAAAACGAAACTGTTATGGCCACCAATTTTTGGGTTAATGGTTCGACTGTTCAGTTTGAACGGATGGTCCGTTTTGATAATAAAAATTAAAAAAATAAGAAAAATGATCAAAAGCCATTGAATGGGTCAATGGTTCAACCGCCCGGGTCAATGGGTCATTAACTGATTCAACGATTTTTGGCTACGGACCAAGATTAGGATAAAACGGAACCGATTGCCTAGATGGCCGATTAAAAAAATAAAAAATTGCCAAAAACCATTGAATAGGTCAACAGATCAATAATTCGACTACTTAAATCAATGGGTCATTGACCATTTCAACGATTTTTGGCCGAAGACCGGATCAACAAATCAACAGGTCGACAGATCCATTCTAACCCCTGCGAAGCTGGGCCCCTCCACTAGTTTTATAATTAAGTAAAATAGGTAGAAATCTAATGATTAAACCTATAAGATCGCTTGAAACCCTCTATTCCATACCAGTTAGGCACTTATCAATGACCATAAAAATAAATATGTATCATATAGCATGCATTGATACATTATGATATTTTGGAGGGAACTATAAATAAACATGAGAGATGGGCTGCCCTTCATCGTGTAAGGACTTAGGGTCAACTAGTTGCACTTAGTTCTGACCATAATTATTAGATCTAGATCCATTATTTCATTTCCATATTTGATCCATTTAGGAAGATGGATCATCATCTTAGGCTGTGATAGTATAGGTTTCCTTATCTTAATTTCTTTACCTTTTCTTTCAAGCCAATCACAGCCTTAAGGTACGCAAGCAACTTAAGTCGGAAAAATTGGTTGGAGTGGGGTGACGATGATCTGCTCCCACCATGGCTCTCATGTATGATCCGCTCACTCCATTATTATATATATGCACTTAATTTCTTCTATATATCCAAGCAAATAAACCAGTCCTTTCTTCATTTTTTTGTCTCTTAGCGTGTAGTACAATTCCAACATCATCAACAGAAATCGTTCATTTGTATTTATTTATCATATCTTGATCTTGCACTATATATATGCCAAGTTCGTGAATGTTAAAATAATAATGATTAATGTGAAGCACAACTTATAAACTTAAACGCGTTCCTTTTACATCACCATTCATTCATTTCACGAAGTCTAAAGTCTACATAAACAAAGGAGAGTCGAAATTCATCTAAACCCTATTTTTCTCCTTTTAGATTTTATATATGACCGATTTTAATTTACATAACTTCTGAGTAATTAGTTCACTCTCCGAGTAAATTTATTTATTTATTTTTTCCTTTTCTTTTATTTGTGGAAATAAGATAGCAAGTAAGGAAATAATTCATGTACCTTAAAGAAACCTTATAGGTGTTTGGCATTGGTTCTGGGAGCACTGTATGGTACTGTTTTTTCATAAAAATGGTGTTGGGCATGTATGAGTTGTAAGAAAATGATGGTTATTTTTTTGTTGGAAGTGGTGCTGCTGCCACATAGGCAATTTTTTTGGGAAAACGACATTAGTTTTGTTTGGTACCGGTGTTATAGAACCGTTTTCAGCATTGATCATATTATCCAACGTCCAAAATGATGCATTTAACATTACTTCAGATCATATTTTCCCAATTTCCAAGATACATTCTGAAGTAACATTTTTAATTTTTTTACGAATAAACGGTACCAAATAAAAAGCCGTTTTCTAAAAAACCGCTTTTTCTGATGTGACGCCATCAATGCCAAACACCCACCCACCTTATTTTTGTAAGTACTTTTAGTTAAGGGTGAGCAAATTAATAGATAAATTCTGTGAGAGCAAATCCGGTCTCCTCACGTACACCTTGCCTTCCTGTGTCTGTGTCCCCGGCCCACTTTTGATTCCCATCGTCAACATGTAACAACAAGGAATAGCGTGTAAGAGTTCAGGGTTTTACCGGTAATTGCCATTGACCGTCAATAGTGAATCGCGTGAACCCCCGGGTACCTACCACAGATGAGTGAGGACAGAGCAAAATAGTCATATGTCATCGTCGTCAACTCTTCATCATACTCGTTCAAAGTTTTCAAACCACTTTTAAAATAAAAACAAGACTCACTTCCATTAGTATTAATTTCTCTTTCTTATTTCCTTTGCTTTTTTTTCCTCCAAAGAACTACAAAGTCAGTTGGCACGTTGGATATAATATTTTTGTATGTCCCCTTCTTCCCTTTCTATAAAATCTGCAGAGGTGAGAGTGAGAGTGGTGAATGTGAGACCTCCGGTGCCTACTCATTCCTCATCACTATCTTCCAGCTCCCAAAGTTTCTGCAACCCGAATACAAAAGTAATAATAACAACACCAAATGTCCACCCTCCAAGCTTCAACATTCCTGTCTTCATCTCCTTGTAAAAGAGTAATACAAGCTACTCTCCATGGCCATGTTCCAAAACCTCGATCTGCAGCTATCCCCAAACTCCCAGCTCGGGACTTGGTGGAGGAATTAATGAACATGAGAGCTGCTGGATATACAAGCACGACGACAACCACACAGCTGCAGCCCAAACTAGTAAGGCAGGCCAGAACTGTTGCTACCACTACCAAAAGAGGCGACGTGGATGCTGATGACCACCCCAACTTCACGGTGATTGCCGAGCTCTATGAGATCATGGAGGCCACGGCAGACAGGGCGGAGATGCACGCCAACATCGAAAAGCAACGGAACAACTGGAACAACCTCTTCCTCACATCCATTAATTCAATTACCATCGCCGCTGCAACCATGGCAGCACTTGCAGCAACATGTGGAGAAGTGGGAACACCACTTGTTGCGCTCAAGCTCTCATCCACTCTTTTGTATTCGGCAGCCACTGGGATGCTGCTGGTGATTAACAAGATCCAGCCATCTCAACTAGCGGAGGAACAACGTAACGCTGCTAGACTGTTCAAGCAGCTTAATGGGCAGATCCGAACAATCCTTGCCCTTGGCAATCCTACTGCTATGGATGTCAAGGACGCCATGGAGAAGGTATTGGCGCTTGACAAGGCCTACCCCCTTCCCCTGCTTGGAACAATGCTCGACAAGTTCCCTGCAACTGTAGAGCCTTCTGTGTGGTGGCCGCAACAGCAGAAACGCCGCAGCCATCGGAGAGCCGAGAAGAACGGCTGGAGTGGGAAGCTGGAAGAGGAAATGAAGCAGATTGTAGAGGTGCTGAAGAGGAAAGATATCCAAGAGTATGTGAGGTTGAGCAAATTAGCTTTGAAAGTTAGCAGGATCTTAGCAATTACTGGTCCTTTACTCACTGGCCTGGCTGCCGTTGGGTCTGCTTTGGTGGGAGTGGGATCGCCGTTGCATGGATCTTGGGCTGTGTTTTTGGGTGTGGTTGCTGGAGTTATGGCAAGCGTGGTGAACACCTTGGAGCATGGTGGGCAAGTAGGAATGGTGTTTGAGATGTACCGGAGCTCTGCTGGCTTCTTTAGACTCGTGGAAGGGTACATAAAGTCCACTCTTAAGGAAGGGAAAGCGGGGAGAAGAGAGAATGCAGAGTTATTTGAAATGAGGGTGGCTTTACAACTTGGTAGGAGCATTTCAGAGCTTAGAGATCTCGCTGCGTCGTCGTCGGCATCTTCATCAAGAGAGTTTGCAAGCAAGCTCTTCTAATTTTTTAATTTTCACCGGATCGATTTTGATACCTACGTACGTGGCTACACAAAGCTTCCTCTGGTGTTTTAATCCTCAATTTTGTACAGACACCGCCTACCAAAAATAAATAAATAGGCCTTCTCATCATTACATTATTTCCAGAAAATTCGATTGTCTTTCTTCTTTCTCAACCTAGGTTCATCTACTTCGACAACTAACAGGTGGATAAAACCATGAATCATGGTCTTCCATGTCCTTGTATGCTATGGCCCCTCCTTGGAATCATGGTCTGCGATGTGGCTCCACACTTCAAAATCATGTTTGTTATGTAAAATATTGTGCATGGTTCCATGGTCAAAGCTTCGAAAGGGAACCCTTCCAAGACCAGAACAACCTTAGAATTGGTGGGTAGAATTGATCTTTACAGGGTAGGTAGGGGATTTTACGGGTCAGTTCGGTCCGGTTGCAGGGTATTTGGCCAATCAAATTGGCCTACTCGGGTTGGGGAGTTGGTCACCCAAAACCGACCGATCAATAGTGAAAACCATCTGATGTAGCACGATCTGGTCACTCCTAGCTGGCAGGGACCTCGCTCCTATCTGGCGACGGATGGCACCTGAGAAGGAGAAGAAGATGAAGGATTCCCGGGGAGCTCGCCCGGCGGGAACACTCCGATGCTTAAGTTAGAACTCGGTGAAGAGCCTAGAGAGTTGTAAAGGAAAATGAGCTAAGAGTGGAGATGCGCACTTACTCAAAAAAAAAAAATATTCCCCTGCCCCTTGGAAATCGGAGCCTTTATATACTGATGTTCTATCAAATCGGGTGTCACCGCCTCTGATTCTCTACTACAGCCGTTATTCGCCAGGATGATTCGACTGGTGCAGGTAACCGTCGTAGAGTATGGTCCTGCCAGTTGAGAGACGTTATGCAGAGCTAGCGTGCACGACGCTGCCTGACGTGAGACGTGGGCGCAGTCCTCTGGACTGAAAGGTGCTACGCCGTCAGACAAGAGACGTGGGAGCAGTCTGACAGGCACAGTCTTGTCGGATAAGAAGTTTTCCGAAGACTCCGGGTTACTCAATAGCGAGCTTCTTTGTAGTGAGCTCCAATAGCGAGCTGCCTTACAGCAAGCCGTTCTGTAGCGAGCTGTCTTGTGACGAGCTATTTAGGCTGGGTTTCAGCGGGCTCATTACGCCGAGTTGTAGCCAAGCTGTCATGCTGAGTTGTCGCATACGTCGAGTCATGTCCACGCGTCACCTGGTTAGGAGGTCGGGTCAAATCACCCCCATCAATTGCCCCCCACTCCTTGGGCTAAGGGTCTTGCTCTAGCACGGGGAGTTCACGAAATGACGGGTGGATTTGACCCACAATTCAAATTACTCTGACCGACCGCACGTGGTTTTCAGGTTTTTCGGGCGCCAAAAAACGCACCAAACTGCCTTCAGTTTTGGAAGATGTGCGACCGTCTTTATTGTGAGCCTTTGGATTCGCTTCAATCGGAGCCGTTGGCTTTCGGGCACAGTGGCTATAAATAGGAGGGCCCCAAGCCTCATTTTTTTTACGCTAACTTGCGTTGCTTTTGGTTTTGAGGTTGCGCCTTCGCCTTGTTTGCTCGAGCTCTCCTCGTTCGCGTCACTTTCTCAGTTCATTTTTTTCTAGTTAGTCCCCTATCTTGTCCAATAATGTATGGGTACCCGTGGGACGGTAACCAGGGCGAGGTCCCCTCGAGCTCAGGGGGAGCTTGGGGTTTCCCCGAAGGGCGGTCTTTGTTGGCTCGGGAAGCCTCCGGTAACTTGGCTTCCACTTCCCAGGGTCGGGAGCCGGATAGCTTTGGCCCTTCCTCCATATCTATGGAGAGACTTCAGGCCCTAGTCTTTCATTACAATCTCCCCCAAGGTCTTATTTATAGCCTCCCATCTGGCAACTATCCCTAGGAACACGATCACGACGAGATTGTGATTTTTGAAGAGCAGCTCGTGGCTGGTCTCTAACTCCCTCTACACCCACTGATAGTGGAGGTTCTTTCCCACTTCAATGTCACCATAGACCAACTGCACCAGAACTCTGTTCGGAACTTGGTGGGGACTATTTACCTGTTCTTTGAGTACTGTCTTTCTCTTTCCCTCGACACCTTTGCTTCTATACTGTCGATCAAGAATGCCTCCCCCGGAGCCCCTCCAGAAAGGTGCTCTTATTACTTTTCCCCCCGTCTGGGCTTTAAGGTCCTCCACGAGCTGCCTAACAGGATCCCAGCCTGGAAGTGGGGTTATTTTGTAGTTCGCAACCCCGAGGGGTGGCCCTTTCCGACCCACTGGAGGGCCACCATTCAGGATCTGGGCGTTGACTTGGACCCAAAGGTGCTCTTATCGCATCTTCTGACGAGCTCGATCGCATCTGCCTTCATCGTTGGCCAATAGTATCCCTATTGTAGCGCTTTCTGGGCGAGAGCCCTGCCCCCCAAGTGTCCATCGCACAGGACCTCATGAGTGTCGCGGAGCACGAGTTCGGCCTCGGAAGGTCGCAAGCAGCGCAGATAGGGGAGCGTGTAAACCTTTGGTATAGCCGTTCATCTATCATGACGTATTTGGCCGCCTAGCGCTCTACCCTTCTAGCGGCATTATGATCCGCAGGGAGGGTCCCGTGCAGTAGGAAGCTCGCGAGCGGGTCGATCCAGTTCGGCTCTGCTTGCTCGATAGGACTGACCTCCCCTTCCCCCCCGAGAATGCTAGGCTGAGGCAAGTTCTCTATGTACACGGTTCTCATGGTATTATCACCGTATCACCGATGTTGGCTAACTAGGATAGGGCGTCGGCCTCAGCGTTCTCAGATCTCGGGATTTGCTTGATGAAGTGAGACTGGAAGTTGAACAGAGCCTCTCTTACTTTGGTTAAGTAGGCGGTCATGGTTGGCTCGCGAGCTTCATATTCACCTATAACTTGGTTGACCATGAGCTGAGAATCACTACAGATGACGATGTGCTTGGCTTTCACTTCATTTGCTAGAGCCAACCCGGCTATTAACGCCTCGTGCTCCACTTCATTGTTGGACTCCACAAACTCAAAGCATAACGCATACTCTAGTTTCACCCCGCTTGGCCCATACAGAACGATTTCATCTCCGCTGCCCTGCTGGTTGGACGAGCCATCCACGTGAAGGATCCAGGGCTCCTCATCCCAGCTCGGGTTTGATCTAACTAGGAGAGAAGCCACACTGGTTACACCCTCACGGTGCTCGAGCTCAACCGGCCTGGGAACCTCGGGATCATCTGACCTGGGGGCCTCGGGCTTGACCGGCTTGGGGACTTCGGTGCTGAAAGTGCATTCCGCGACAAAGTCAAATAAGGCTTAGGCCTTGATAGCATTTCACGGCTTGTACTAGAGGTCGTATTTGCTGAGCTCAATGGCCCACTTTGTCAACCTACTAGAGACCTCGGGCTTGAGAAAGACTTGCCTCAGAGGCTTGTTAGTGAGGACGACGACAGTATGAGCTTGGAAGTATGGGCGAAACTTCCAAGCTGCAACAACTAGAGCATACACCAATTTTTCGATCTTTGGATACCTCATCTCTGCCCCCTGTAACACTTTGCTAACATAGTAGATAGGTTGTTGGACCCGGTCTACTTCTCTTATCAGTACCGAGCTGACCACCTCATCACTTGCAGAGAGGTACAGCTCCAAAACATCACCCTCCTCGGGTCGGGTTAAGACTGGGATACTGGTGAGGTACCTTTTGAGCTCGTCGAACGTGAGCTTGCACTCATCATTCCATTCAAAGCCTTTGCTTTTAATCGCCTTAAAGAAAGTCAGGCAGCGATCTGCCGATTTGGACATGAAGCGGCTCAAGACGGCTATACGGCCATTCAACCTCTGAACCTCCTTCAATTTCTGGGGTGGTCTCATATCTAGGATAGCCTTAATTTTATCCGGGTTGGCCTCAATGCCACGCCGATTGACGATGTACCCTAGGAATTTACTCGATGTGACACCGAAGGCACACTTGTTTGGTTTTAGTTTCATGTTATACTTACGCAAATTTTCAAAAACAAAGCAAATCTTTTATTAAATCATTTGAAAACTGAGTTTTGATGACCATTTCGTCTACATAACATTCTATTTTCTTGTTGATCAACGGCTCAAACAACTTATTTACAAGTCTTTGGAAGGTAGCTCTGGCATTTTTCAGTTCGAAGGGCATGACCTTGTAACAGTACAGGCCTAGTTTGGTTATAAAAGTTGTTTTTTCATCGTCGGCAAGGTCCATTCTTATCTGGTTATAGCCTGGGTAAGCGTCCAAGAAACTCAACAACTCATGCCCTGAGGTCGCGTTCACTAGGTAGTCAATATTGGGGAGTGGGAAGCAATCCTTTGGACAAGCTCGATTCAGGTCGGTATAATCGATGTACATGCACCATTTACCGTTGGCCTTCTTTACCAGGACTGGCTTGGCTACCCAGCTCGGGTAATGGACCTCTCTGATAAAGTCGGTTGCGAGGAGCTTTCCGACCTCCTCGTCAACTGCTCTCCAGCGCTCCGGGGCTAAGTTGCGTTTCTTCTGTCTAACAGACCTAACTACAGGATCAGTATTTAGCCTGTGAGTTATGATGCTAGGGTCTATGCTGGGCATCTCTGTCGTAGACCACACAAAAATATCTAAATTTTCAAGTAAAAAGCTTACTAGTTGAGATCGCAGAGGCTCCTTGACTGAAGCGCCGATCTGGATTGTCTGAGTTGGGTCCTTTATCGAGGTTGGGACAGAGACATTCTCTTCCGTAGGTGCAGCTCGCTCTTCGTATTGCTCCGCAGGTCGCTCCAGTTCAAGGTCGTCGGCCACCTTGGCTTTCCCTTTGAGGGCGGCGACGTAGCACTTGCGAGACTTGAGATGATCGCCTCATGCTACCCCAACTTTGAAGTCTGTGGGGAACTTCATCGCCAAATAATAGGTGGAGACCACCGCACGAAGAGCATGGGTGATGGGCCAACCTATTATGGCATTGTATGGGGAGGGAGTTGCGACCACCA